AACAATGTTATTTAAAACTCTTCATGTGACAACAACTGAAATGTTCTTCTTTCAGAATACATCTGTTCAACTAAATATACTACTGGGGTTTTTTAGTAATTACTTCCAGAAAGAGATTTTTAGACCATTTCAATAAACAACTTCAGCTTTGACCACTTGTTACAATACATATTTGTATGGTTTTGAGTATACTAGGGGGACTACATAGATCATTTCTTATGCTTTCTTGTGTCTAGAAAAATCAACCTATTCTTTCTTAAACAGAGGACAGGGACACCTTCACTAAGGCCCCCCAAGAGTCAATATACAGATCAGCTGTCTGCACTACAGATCTCTTTGGAAATGAGTGTGTAGAACTTAAAGCACTGGGTTTAACATAGTAAACCCTGAACAGAATGATACCTTCTCACCTGTGAAATGACTGCTCTTTCTGTCTCAACTGCTTGCTGACCATTTCTGCTGAGAACCCATCTGCACGGGCTTTTTTCTTCTTGAATAATCTGAAGTATCTCAGGTTTATTGTCTTATAACACAAGTCTTCTTTAGTGGACTTGTCAGAAGCACTGAAGTAGACAAGGATCATGCTCAGGGATTTCAGGAGGATTACATACACTATTTTTAATATAAAAATTTTACAATTCAATTGGTTATATAAACAAGGAAGAAACATATACCAGCATGGTATTGCAAGTAATTTTCTCAGAAAAGCAGAATGGAGAAATTTATGCCACATAAACCAGAAAAAAAAAATTTTATAGTTAAAGTTTTCCAAATAAATTATGAATTACAACAACACTTAGATGCAGTACACATAAGTCACCAGGGTGAGTATATGGAAAATAAATAGTGGTATTCCACCCATCTCTGCATGACATTGACCAAACTGTTAACACTGAGAGGGTAAATGCAAAAAGGTATTGGTTCAGATGGGGCCAGATGGTTTCATGAAGGCTTACAGAAGTTGCAAACCTAAGTAAGGTTTGTAAATTCACATAAAATGTCCACCTGAAATCAATGTAAGCCTTCACAAAAAAATTAAATAGATTATTGGGCAATGTGGATTACTGTTTTACAGTAAAATGGACCATTTTCTTTTTGTGCCATGTACATCAGGAAGTTCAATAGCATGGGCTGGTAACTAAGGTAGGTATTAATGAAAAAAAATAATGAAAAATACTATTTTGGGGAGCAAAGATTTTGCTAGTTTGGAAACTGGCATTGCCAGTTGTTACAAGAACTGAGGCTAGAAACTAAAAATAGTGTGCAGAGGTTTAATATCTTATAAGGAAATGCATCGCATTTTCTTTTTCAGAATTACAAAATAAAAGCACATTTTGTTAAAAAAAAATGGGTATTGCATTAGGCAGCTGGAATTATATGTAGAATTTTTCTGTAAATAACAAACAGCATAGGTGTACTGTTCATAGTCTGCACTTCTGAGGAAAAGGCCTATGACTTCTTGGCAATTGTTTTTGGGAATAGTCATTGATTTTGAATTGTTCAATCATTTTTAATTGATGGATTATAATGGATTTGCACTAACCTTTTTATATGAAACAGATGCAGTTTTAGATTCAAATATTGTAGAAAGAAATGAACCCAAGTGATAGCAAACGCAATTGTATCTGACAGACAGGCACATGATTCTTTTAGTTAGTTATACTGCAAAAAAAATCAAATTTGTATGTCAGTGGGATCGAGTGAAGCCAACAAATCCAAAATAATTACTGTACTTTTGCAGGATTCTATACAATTAAAATAGGGAAGTTGGAAGAAAGTAGAATTAATTTAACAATATGAAAATGCTGTTTACTGGGATTTTAATTGTGTCTAAGATTCCATGATAATGTAAGAAATTACAAGACCGGATAAATAATACTTTTTATTTTAAAAAAGCTTTGGTATTAGTTGCAAAATACCTGCAATCTTCCCTTTGCAGTCCTGGTTTGGACTCTCCCCCAAGAAATGGCACATTAAAGATGGTTGGAATTCATTCAACCAAAAAAGGAACATGGTTTTTGTAAGAAAAGTTTTGGGGTTTTTGACCAGCTTCAGTTAACATTCATTGCAGATGCAACATTTTCAAAGCTGTTTCCTGAAAAGAGAGACTATTCACCAACAATGTGATAGACTATTGCATTTTGTTTCAATAAAGCTAATGTAAATACTGGAAAGAAGCCACAGTTATAACACTTCAAGAAATTTAGGATACATGTAATATAATAACACACTTTCCACCACAAAAATTTGTAGAATAACTTAGGCTGGAAAAAGACCCCTGAGGCCCAACCATCCCTCTGCTCAAAACAGGTTCAATTAGTTCAGTCTGCTTGGGAATATGTTCAGCTAAGTTTCAACTCTCTCCAAGGACAGAGATTCCACAAACACATTGCTTCAAGGTTTCATAGCCCTGTGGACAGGACAATGGATTGAGACTTCAAATCCATTTCCAGTCGTGTTAGATTCCTTGTTACAGGAGTTTAAGAGTTACATACTCTCATATGTGACCTTGGATGATTCAGTTTCTCCACTTGCAAGCCTAGAATTATTATTCAAAACTCCCGCTTAATTATGTAATTGCATTATAAACACTGTCTAAATAACAATATATTCAAAGATGCTATCACTGCAAAGTAAATGCTTTTAAGTCCTTGGATTTCACCATGAGAAGAATGAAGCTAAAGAAATAGGGCATTTTACATAAAGTAGCAGACCATACTTTAAACTCTTATAGCAGCCTCTATACACTGAGGCCTAAACTATTGGTCTCTTCAGCTCTTGCCTTTTTTACTGGTGACTTTATTCAGAGTGCATAAATCTCACCCAACACTGGCATCCTTTTTGTTATGTTTTCAGCGTTTAAGTTAATGACCAGAGTGGTTTTATTTGGTAACCTTATTATCAGATTTTATATGAAAATTATCCATTTTTGTTCTTCCAAATTAAACTGCAGGTATTGGCTCTCTGCCCAGAATACAAAATCCTTGCATGATCTCATCAGAAGTAGTGCATGTAATGACTGATTCCTACTTGCATGATGAACAGCCTTTGCTTAGAAACTCATAAGATAATTCATGCTGTTGAGAACACAGCCATTTTCTTTATGCTGCTTATGATAATTTACATTCTAAGAAATAGTTTCATATACAATATATCTGTATGGGATATCAACTTTATTGTTCCTCCCATCAGCACCACTTAGACTACGCAGGTGAAAAATCCAAAATAGAGAGATCCCAGTTTCAGTCCTGCTGGCATTTTGTTTAAAGATATTTCCTCGAAGTTCTTGATGTATCATCTGAATCCTTTTTTTCAAGATACGTTTGAATCACCATAAAATTGCAACATCATGATCTGTAAAGTACACATTACAGTACCCAACAGGAGTAAACTGAGTTTAGTTCACCAGTCACCAGTGTATCTTATTTCAAATAGTAACTGAGTTCTCAAGGGACATGTAGCTGTCACCTACAGTGTTTGAGACTATGGCCTCTGAAATCATAAAGCTTTTAGGTAAAGAATGCCACAATATTTGAAGTCCTGTAGATGCTACACTTCTTTCTGAATGTCATTGCATATGGCTTTCTCACATCCCATATCCCCATTTGGGCTATGACCACTCAAGGAATGATAGTCAGATGTCTGCAATGGGGAATTTTTCCAAAATGAAGCAAAAAAAGATGATACATCATTTAAAAACTCCCAAGAGTGGGACCACGAGATTGCTACATTGCCAGCTCTTCCTCACCACTCTTGAACAAACCCACCGTGCTCAGTTTCTGACCTCTGACATTCTGCTTCCGCAGCCCTTTATTTGTTAAGGCAGTGAAACAGCACATGATTTACACTGGTTGCATTTGCAGGATTTATTAAACTTGTACCCTGCATAGGATACATAGACTTGGATGCAGCATAGAGATCCTTTTAGGACCCTGTGCGCACTGTCATCTGTTGCCGGTATCAGAAATTAAGGATGCCACAGGGCTGGCCGTCAGAGACCCGAGGTCGGCACACCTAGCAGCGCATCCGGGCGGGGCCCGGCCACCGGCGTGTGACAGGGCGAGGTGCCCAGGAGGGTTTTACCTAGCGGGAAAGCGCCTCCACCCCCAGCCTCCGCGGGGAGCGGTGCCCTCTCGGGGAGCACAGGGACGGGAGCTGCAGGGAGCTCCTCCGGGGAGCGGAGCCGGGCGGGGCGGGGCGGCGGCCGAGGTCGCACCTTGGCCCGGTGGGGCTTTCCTGGCCCGCACGGGGCGGTACTTTCCCGACATGGTTAACCTTTGCGGTACTCCCACTGCGCCCGGAGGGGTGGAAACTCCGGGCAGAAAACATTCGGGGAGGGCGGTAAAGGAGGGGAGGTGGTTCTAGATAGTGAAGTTTTGGCGGCCGCACCAGGGGCCGGCGCGCTACTGCCAACGGAACGCCCCGGGGGAAACGGCGGCGTTCCTGGGGCCGCTGGGCAGCGCCGCGGGTTACGGAGGTGCAGACAGCGAGGGTCGCACAAGCAAGCGGCGGTGGGTCACATGGAGCGAGGGCCGGGACAGCCGGCAGAGCGACGCGGAGCGGCTGCCACAGGGCCAAAGCGGCGGGCGAGGTGCGGAGGAGGCAAGCGGCGCAGCGCTCTGCCCGCGGCCTTCGCCCGCCTCCCCGCCCGGGGGCAGCGGCCGTGCCGAGCTCAGGGAGCCGCGACCCAAGCCGCCGCCGAACAAAGGCGCGGGCGGGCGCAATGACTTCACCGCCGGGCCCGCCCCCGCACTCCCGCCCTCGAAACCTGCCCCGCTGCCGTCTCCTGGCAACCTGAGGGGACCCGCGGGCCCGGCGCGCACCCTCCGCGCTGGGGCCGCACAGCGCCGCGCAGCGCTGCCGGCCGCGGTCTCCGGCCCTCTCCTCCCCGTCCTCAGCACACCCCGTCTTCCCGGCGCGGAGAGGCGGACCGGCGGCGCCTCGGGACGGCGGCGGGCAGCGCCCACCTGGCCCCGGCGGGGGCGGGCAGGGGGCGGCCGTCCCCGCCCTCCCCCGGCAGCCGCCCTCTTCGCCCGAGGGAGGTGCGGAGCCGCCGCCGCCGTTCCCCGCGCGGTGCCAGGAGCCTGCCCGCGCCCCCCAGGCAGCGCGGGCGGCGAGGCGCCCCTGGCCCGCCGGGCTGGAGGCTGATGGCGGGAGCCAAGCTCCGCGCTCGGCCGGGGCCCCTCTGCCGCCGGGGGAGGGCCGGTCGTGGCGGGGCGCGGGGGCGCGGCAGGCGCTGCCCCCGAGATGCGGCGGCCCCCGCCCGCCCCTCCGAGCTCCCTACCTGTCCCGGGCCCGCCGCCGCCCCTCCCCCGGCCCCGCCGCCGCCCCCGCGGGGGCCGGGACTGAGCGCGCCGCGGCGCCGAGACGCGGCCCCGAGAAGAGGGCGAGGGAGCGGGAGCAGTGCCGGCCGCGGCGCATGATGTGGGTGCCGCTGCTGGCGTGCCTCACCGCGGGGATCGTCTCCGTGCCCAGGTGCCAGCGTGGCCCCGGAACCTTCCTCGGGGCGGCCCGGCTGCTGGCGGCCGTGCCGGGACTCTGCCAGCGCTGTAAGTGTCCGAGCGCCTGGGGCTGCTCGCTGTGCCCCGGCTGGTTGGGGCTGTGGCTGGGTTTGTCTGGCGTGGGGTCGTGCGGGGGTGGGGGGCTTGCCTGGGCCCGGCGGCTGCCTTGGGGCACAGCGCTGACAGCTGGGACCGCCCGGCGCCACCGGCACTCTCCGGCCGGGCGGACGGTACCTGCAGGGAGAGCCAGGCTGGAGCGGCTCCTGTCCAAACCTCACACCGCCAGGGCCAGCCCGTGGTTTAACTGCTCACAACGGGGACGTCCGCCTTTAGGGAGCCGTGGTAGGTCCCGGGGAGCCGGCGGGACTGTCGCACTCCAGGGTGCTGCGGGTCCTGGAGTGCACCCTCCGCAACACTCCGCGAAGCGGCACGCGGACTCCTCCGGGGGACCCGAGCTAGGGATGGACAGTTCTTGGGGATGGTTACATTCTGTTTTACGTCGTTTATATGGCATGCAGTGGCAGGGTTAAATAGGGATAGAGCTACTAGAAGATTGTCTTCTGTTTACCTTGGGATAACGTGCATGTTGACAGTTCCCCGGGAGCTATGCTTTTTGGCTGAAAAAGGCTGTGCTAGATGTGGGTAACCCCTCGCGATGTGGGATTGCTTTTCAAAGCCCCCAGCATCAGTTTTAATGTGTGCAGGCTGAGGGGAGTTTGTGCAAATGTACCTTAGATAGTGCAGCAGTTGACAGAGCAAGCAGGTTAGTCAGGTATTTCATAAAGATCTTATTTAGCTACAAGTGATCATAAAAGCAGATCTGGTTGTCAATTATCTTTCTGCATTTTTTTTCTGCTTGTGGAATAATTGGCATTTCCCAGCTTAAGCCTGGAGCTGATTTAAAATGTTAACATGTAACCTCTGAAACTGAGATTTACAATGGAAACAATGTATTAGTCTTAAATTCTTTATTGCATATGTGACAAATTCATGCCTAATTCAGTAGGATTTGCCCAGTGCTATTAAAAACAATTGAATAATTTGTTAACTTTCATAGGATAATTTATTTTACTTTTTTGGCTTCATACTTTGAATTCAGAACCAAACTAAATGTCAATAGGAAAAATAAAATATATTATTAAATTTCTTATGAAACATGACATCTTGTATGTAGTATCCCAGATTTTTTTTTAATGCAGTGCAATTGAGTTGAAAGGCTAATTGAAACTTTATGAAGAGGATGGTTCTGTGCCTGAATGCAGCGTTGTTTTTGCTCATGACTGTATTTCCTGGGTACACACTAGTGCAAATAATGCATCAGGAGAGAATGCCACAGGAGAGGTTGTGCATGGGGCTTTTGTATGCCAAAGGATGCTTGCTGTCTTTGTTGTGCTTCATAGTGAAAATATATATGGGCGATGCGTCATGGGTTATTGTGACAACAGCTCTCAGAATGGGCAGACTGTAACTCACATAGACCTTGTTTTTTTCCTTTTCATTTGAAACCTCTGCTAATTCATGAAAGCTGAAAGGCACACTGAATTCTTTCCTTCATACATAATCACTTTACAGGCTACAGCCGCAGTTGAAGCAAGAAGAGTATTTTGTTTTGTTTTTCTGTGAATGAACACATGAAATTTTTTGTTATTATTAATGTTATTTGTGATTTTTACATTTGGCTGTGGTAGCCAGTACAGCACCACCTGGATTCTTTGAATGTCTGCAGGCTGCTTTGAGAGAGACTGGGCAGCAGCTCCATGTACAGATATTTGGCAGCATGGCTTTGTTCAAGCCGCCACTCCTCTTTGCATCAACAGTGCTGGGCATGGAGAAAAGCATTGTGCTGTTCCTGTGCCATCAGCAAATCCAGTTTATTTATGTGCAGAGTTGGCAGAACCTGCACATCTGTTGCACTGAATCTCCAGTTCTAAAAGAGACTGGAATTAATATGAAATGTACATGGAACTCAAATGTATTTCATTCATATTGGAGCGTTTGTGGCTCTTCCAATTGAAAAATTGAGGGCTTGATACTACCTGAGGTATTTGTTCTGCAAACTGCAGTTTGAGATGTGAGTCACTGCTTGGGGATAAGTAAAGGTAGAATTTGGCACAGGGTTTGAAGTTACAAGGAGTGCAGAAGGAAATCTCACAATGCTGTAAATGTGCAATTCCTAAATTACAGGTCCTGTAAGCTCAGATAAAAAGAGTAGTGTTGCTGCCTTCTACAAAGAGTCCCTTGTTCAATAAGTCTCACCAAAAGGAAATTTGCAGTTCAGTAAGCCAATTATAACAAACACCTGACATAAGAATCAACCTAGTTCTGTAGGGATTTCTACAGATCCCTACATTTATGTCTGAGTATTAAACTTGACCAGCTCCTAAAGATGTAAACCAGTGAACTGAATAAAAGCAGGAGTCTACAGCAAAAGCGTGTGTATGCATTGTGCTAACCAGTTGAGTGAGTGCTCGCTTCAGTGAAGACAGTACTCTTGCCTTGTTCAGAACCCAGCTGCTGAAACTTATTTTTTAACTGCTGTATAAGCACATGAGTTATGTGGGGCTTAAGTACTGAAGAATGACTGATTAGTCAGGGTTAATAGATGACATTGGTTCAAATCTCCAGTGTCCCAAAACCAGTTATAATAATATTAAAATCTGAAAACTAAGGTATTTGGTGCTTTCCAAAATACCCAGGGAGTTATTCCTCTATGAAGCTTAAGTAAACAGAGTGTACTTGTGATGTGCAAACAGGGATGGGATGGAATGAAAATCTTTATCTCTGAATTAAAAGTTGGAGAACAGTCACACAGCAATTCTCTTAGATAGTTGTGATTGACAGGTCTCTTTAAATACCGACTTTAAAAGTTTGTATTTTCAGTCTTCTTGAGAGTGTCATTTGGAAAGACCACTGGGGAAAGTAGGGGATCTGTGATCATGAAAGGGTCAATTGTTAATTGATATATGCCAATAGCATGACTTTTGATTCATTAATTTTCTCCCATCAAGGTCTTTGGTGCTTCATCAGTCTTGTCACATCAGATTTCCATGTGATCCCTCTAGTAAGAAAGTTTTATAGACCATTACTCGTGTTACTTCTCAAAGGAGTAAGAAAAGCTATTCAAACCACCCATAGAAGTTTTTGAAGAGAGGTGATCAGGAAATGTCCCATGACACACACACAAGCGCACAAAAAAGTCTGAAATAAAAGATTCATCATGATAGCTTTAATTGGTGTTTGTCTGTTAATTCTCTTGTGTACCCATGCGGCCCATTTTCTAATGAGACTCAGTGGAAGAAGCTGAGCTGTATGGAATACCCAACACTGAGCCAGTTCAGCTTTTCCTGAGGCTTAAAACAATCCAAGAAGAAGAGAAAACCCATTTTTCATTTCCTGAGTCTGCATGGGTGATCTGCTCCCTAGGGCTAATGGGCCATCTTTGGGAAAGCCAACCTTTTGGGAACCTTTGGGAACCAGCCTTTGGGGGAAAAACACCTTGGGTGTTTGAGAGGGCTGTAAGTTGCAGTTCTGAGGAATAGTGAGGGAGACGTTTGTTTATGTGTGCATTGCTCAAGGAGCACATTATGCCAATAACATGCATACATTTGCTTTGCAAATTGTACGCTTCTCATAATCTGTTGCAATTTCATGTCTCTTCGGGGGGCTTATGTGGTAAGATTTTTTTTTTTATTTTATGGTTTTTACAAGTTGAATGAAACTCATAGTTGCATGTATAGTGTTTACAATGTTTGTATGCTGCAGGTGTTTGAGATCAGGCTGGGAAAAGAGATGAGAGGGGCAGTTTATGAGCTAGAAGAGCAATAACCATACTCTTGATGCTCTGGAAAGGTTGTCTCTGTTATTTTGGATATGCTGTTGCTGAGGAAAGTTGTCAAGGCAGTCTGAAGATTGCATGCATCAGAAATACTCTCTACAGTTTGAAGAGGCAATTGCTTCTTTTTGGGCCTTTAAACTTTCAAGGACTGGAACTGCAACAACTGAGAAAGCAAAAATTAGACCCCATTAGTCAAGAGGCCTAAATGAATAAATTCGATTTTCCATACAATCTAATTTACTTCCCCAAACCATCGGAAAGATGTCAGAATGTGAACTTCATGGAAGCTAAAGAAAATCTTAATTAAATGACCCCCATTCCACAAGTGGATATTAAAATGTCAGATTATAATCTCCCTTATACTTTATAGAGAACTTAAATGCTGGCAATATTTTTCAAATCCCTATGAATAATTTGTGATGACTTGTCCATGTTATGTCTTGAGTTTGGGACAATTAGAACTAATTACTAATTACCATAGGAGAGGAAAAATGGAAGATATTTTATTTACAAATTGTGTAAGTTAACATGGGCTGCTGATATTTATCAAGACTTTCTAATAACAGTTAACAGTTGAACTAGAGGATTTAAAGGATCTTTTCCAGCCTAAATTATGCTATGATTCAAGGAGGTACTTCTGAACCTACATGTGCCTTTCTTATTCTCATCTCTGAAAAGTTCCCCCACTTGTATGGAGGTGGAATCATTCAGGACAAAAACTCAAAGAGGAGAAAGAGAAGCCTCAGACATATAAACTCAAGTTTTTCATATAAATATATATCAGTGCAGAGGATTAGTGGTGGACTTGGCAGTATTGGGTTAAGCACTGGTGTACATGATCTTAGCAGTCCTTTCCAACCTAAATTAATCTGATTCTCTCCTATGATTCTGTGAATAGATCTGATGTAAGAAACATTAATCTTAATGTATAAATTAAATCTACATTACATTTTTTTTCAACAATGTATATTTTAAAAACAATATAGAAAAAGTGTACTTTCTTAAATCAGGATAGGTGCATCTAAGGCAGTGATTGGGATTTAATGACTTCTGTCAGGGTAAGAAGAACAAGTGGAATAGCTTGGTGTTCTGACCTGTAAAGTTTGCTTAGTGTTCTTAAAATATATAAATGGCATTAAAGTCATATGTTATATTTTCAAAACTTATATATGTGAACTATTTAGAGCTTTTACTGTAACTGGTAATCCAGACA